CTGATGGTTGTAGCCTCCTGATCTTCTGGTTTGCACTTCTGGTGCACCTGACAGAGCAGGGGAAACTAAAAAAGCCCTACATTTAGGATAAAAATCCTTTACCAACAACCAAAACATCAGTGTGGTAACAATATTTTTCTCATACTGAAGTCAGAACTCAGCACTGTACCAGCTACTTGGGAAATCACTGAGAAAATTAAATCTATTCCAGCAGAAAACATCTCTAGGTGTAAATACAGAGCTTGTGTCCCGAGGCTTCAGCAAATCCAGCCTCTCATGCTCGTAAAGCCAAGCAAACAACATACTAAATCCCACAGTGTTATAGCTGTGTGTGACTCCTTCTGCTTTAAACCCATTTATGCCTCACAACTAATATCTCCCAACACACTGGGACCATTTGTGGGAGCTGGATATCTCACGTAGGAAAACCCAACCAAGCAAATGCCAGACAGTGAAACTGAGCAGGTTTCAGCCAAAATAATCTGGCTGAACTGAGAGATCCTCATCAGGTGAGAGAAAACCCACAGACTCTCACAGCAGTGCTAGAAATGCCAGCTACAGCTGGGCGATGCCCGGGCAGTTACCAAGTGTTGGCTCGTGACAGATGGTCTCCCACGGTTTCATCATCCTGGGAAAGAGAGTTTTGAATGCTGAAATGAGGAGAGGCAGTGTATATTTTAGTCACACCCCCAGAGAATCCCGCTTTTGCTTCAAAATATCACCTAGATTTGGTTAGGAAATGTCTCGTGTTCCACAGTGTTGTGGAACTTTGAGTGAAAACATTGGCTGGATCCCCTCAGATTAGATCTTGGCAACATTCTGAAATAAATAAAGCTATTTATGCAGCCCAGAGCTAGACCTGGGACAAGTATCTTGCTATCTAGACCACAGCCTCCTTTATTTTATGCTTTCCTATCGATTATAGATGATGAGAGTTATTTTTCAGTTGGCATATGGAGTGGTGAGGTTCTGAAAGTGAAATACAAACAAGGTGATGATTGACTGTGAGCCTTAGAAGAAGATTGTCTTGGTGAGGAGAAGCTCTGCAACTTGAATTTTTTCCTTATCCTCCTCTTTGTTAGTAGCAGAAAGTAGGGCAACCTCCAGAGGAACATCACAAAATTGATTCACAGATGAACCCTTTTCCTGTGCTATTTATTCTTTGTGAGTGTCTCAATCTTGATCCTGAAGTTTGAGATCCTTGGTTTGGCTTTGCTGGGTTTCATTTCACTCAGAATTTGGGTTTTTCCTGAATATCATGTGTCATCCTGCAGAGTTCTCTTATACTAAATCTGGTAAAAGTCATAAAAAGATAAAAATGAGCATAAAAATGGACTAGGTCCTGAGTTGGGTTTTTTTTTAGGGAGATATTAGCTGGAGTGAGACAGAAGATATTCCTAGGAATGGCAGAAGTGCTTATTTGAGAGGTTTCCCCACGCCAACTGCTATAAGGTCTATATTCAGATCTAACAGATTTGTTAAATCATCTGGGCTGAAATTTTCCAAAATCACTATTTGCCACAGGAAGAGGATTTTGGAAAAACTCCAAAGACTCTTAAAAGACCCCAAAAATCAACGCCTCGATTTTAGTGCTCATTCCACGTATTATTCTTCCTCCTTCCCTTCAGGAAGTTGGTTTTTTGAAATCCTGATTCTACCACTGATGAGAGAGAGGTTTTACTGAAGAAGACAGAACAGATAATATAATTAGTTTATTGTAATGCCTGTGTGCAACTGGGGCAAAACAAGGTTGCTCAGGCTACATTGATTCTATTGCTCTGTGACTTCATAACCCCAGAAGTGCTTGACTTCATAACCCCAAAGTTCTCTTAACTTAGCCTTTTTTGTCTATAATTGGCACTCAGGGGTCTCAGAATGCAGATCCTGAGGCAGGAATGTCTCTGGAATAAGGAGCTCTGGCCTTTCATTGGAGAGAATTCTGCGTGGAGGAGCTTTGATGATGGACCCTCAGCACCAGCTTAGTGCACTTGTTCTTATTTCTCTTTATTTATTGATATAAGACTTCCTGTAACTTCTCTGTTTACACCCAGTGGAGGGAGTGAAACCTGAGGGATGCAAACACTTCCCTGAAGAACTTTCTTGCATGAGGATGAATGTATTTTGTGGTGTAAAATTAAAACCTGATTTTAGGATACATTTATTTACAGTGAGGGTGGGGAGGCCCTGGCACAGGTTGCCCAGAAAAGCTGTGGCTGCCCCATCCCTGGAAGTGTCCAAGGCCAGGTTGGACGGGGCTTGGAGCAACCTGGGCTGGTGAAAGGTGTCCCTGCCCATGGCAGGGGGTAGAACGAGATGAGCCTTAACATCCCTTCCACTCCAAACCATCTGTGATTCTGTGATCTGTCACTATCCCCATTAAAAGCAGCTAGTGGGCATTAATCTGTCTTCTCTGCATTTTATTTGTGTTATGTGGTGACATCCACTAAAGACAAAACAGTGGCCATTTTGGAAGAAGGGAGAGAAAATGAGACACACTGGGTGGAAACAACAAGCAGTCCCTCCAATCTCCTCCTTTACCCTGTTGCTTAAAACAGATATTTTTGTTCAAAGACAGGCTTTTAACCAGACACAGGCTCACCTTACCAACCCTTCCCCTCTTCCTTTCTTCCTCTCTGGGCTCTTCCCTCACTCTTACAAAATGCAGTTTCCAAATGCCCGAAATGGGAGGTCCCTCAGGGCAAACCTGTTGCTGCAGTCACTGAGAAACTGGTACAGTTTTGTCTCCCACTCCTGTCAGATCCATTTTTGTGCTTTCCATTTTTCCCTCCCTAACTCTGTCCTGTGATTCCCCTCCCACATCTCTGCACACAAATAATACCTTGTCACCAGGCTGTCAACAAGTCCTCTCTGAATGCACGTAGCATCTAATGTCTTATGGCAGAAATTCCCTTCAGTGACAGAAGAGGCATTTTGCAGATGTTTTTTCCGAGTCAAAGCCATGGCATTGATCAAAACAAAAGTGTTTCCATCCTTGTTTTCACACAATTTAGCACGAGGTATTGCTAACTCTGGGAGAAGTGTTGATTTTTGTTTCCCCCCTCAGAGCTGTGTGATTCCACAGGACATCTGGGGAATCTTTGTTGAAGATGTACCAGGTATTAGTAGTTGTGATGAAAGTTCTCACCTCTCCTGCCCCATGGCTGCTTTCAGTTTCAGTTGAGTCCTGCTGCTCCAGGTAGGCATAGCTACTCCAAAATGTGGATTTTGGGATGTGTACTGCCTGTCCTGAGAGGGAATTTCCCCCTCCCTGGAGCCTCCAGTGGTGGAACTGTCCCAGTCTCCCTCCCTGCAGAACCATTTTCATCCCTTTGTTGCAATTCACCTGTGAAGATCACAGAATCACAGACTGGTTTGGGTTGTAAGGGATCTTAAAGATCATCTTATCCCAACCACCAGCCATGGGCAGGGACACCTTCCACTACCCCAGGTTGCTCCAAGCCCTGTCCAACCTGGCCTTGGGCACTTCCAGGGATGGGGCATTGAAAAGATGCATTTTAGTGACCAAACATCATCCTTTACCTCTGAACACCTTGTTCACCCATCACACCAGGGAATTATGAGCCCATGGCACAGCATGAAACTCTAAACCTGGAATCCACAGCCACCCCAAGACGAGCTTATCTTTAAAAAAAGGGGTTTAGATCTGCTTGGGTGAGGAGAAGATGTTGATTGAAAATAAGTTTGGTCAACCTTAAAGGAACTTTGCCTTTAGATATACGAGAACGTGTTTATCTTCTAGGTTTGATCTGAAGTTTTCTTTGTTTCTGTTTTGAAGGGGAGTGGCAGAACCCTTCACTGCTGGGATGATGCAACTTGTTTTCCATTACATGGAATTAACTTTAAGTGTGTTTCTGTAACGTCTATAAATACTGGAATAAACAACCAAATTAATTTTGTTCCCTGTCACAGCCCAAGCAGCTCCAAGTGCAGATGCAAAGTGGGATGGACGACTGCAAATACCTTTTCAGGAAGAGCTGATTTGCACTGTAA